TCCGACATACTTCACTACCATATATATGTTCCTTTCCACTTAAAGCCATTAAAGGTACTTACTTCAGCATTGTGTTATCACAAGGAATTACTGAGGCATCAAACTGCTTAGCCACACCATGAAGGTTTGGGAGCGAGTCATTGAGTATAGGGTGCAGAAAGAGGTATGCATCTCTGAGAACCAGTTTGATTTCATGTCTGGCAGATCGACTACAGAGGCCATTCACCTCGTGAGGAGGTTAATGGAAGAGTATAGGGCTAGGAAGAAGGACCTTCATATGGTGTTTATTGATCTTGAGAAGGCGTAATAGGGTGCCAAGGGAGGTCTTATGGAGGTGCCTTGAGACGAGAGAAGTTTCCATCGCGTACACTCGCACGATCAAGGATATGTATGGTGGGGCTAGGACTAGGGTAAGGACCTCCGGGGGCGACTCTGAGTCATTCTCGGTAGGGATGGGGTTGCACCACGGGTCTGCCCTTAGCTCTTTTTTGTTCGCATTGGTGATGGACGTCCTGACACAAGGTGTTCAAGAAGGGGTCCCATGTTGCATGCTTTTTGCGGATGATATTGTGCTTATCGACGACACACGTGAGGGACTGAACGATAAGTTGGAACTGTGGCGCCTTACCCTTGAGACTAAAGGATTCAGAATAAGTAGGAACAAGACTGAATACATGGAATGTCATTTCAGTGGTCGGGAAACAGAATCAGAAGTGGAAGTTAGGATTGACTCTCACCTAGTACCTAAGGTAGACAGGTTTCGATATCTTGGCTCGGTAATTCAGGCTGATGGGGAGTTAGATGGGGATGTTGGACATCATGTTGGAGCGGCTTGGGCGAAATGGCGGTTGGCTTCAAGGGTGTTGTGTGATCCGAAGATTTCGCCCAGGATGAAAGGTAAGTTCTACCGGTCCGTAGTCAGACCTGCTATGTTATATGGGGCAGAGTGTTGGGCGGTTAAGAAGACTCATGTGCGTCGTCTGCATGCGACGGAGATGCGGATGTTACGATGGATGTGTGGGAAGACAAGGTTGGATAAGATTTCGAATGAAGTTATCCGACGTCAGGTTGGCATGGCGCCGGTGGAAGATAAGTTGCGGGAAACGAGGTTGAGATGATTTGGTCATGTGAGACGGCGGAATGCTGACGCCCCTGTACGGAGATGCGAGAGGATTACGGTTGTTGGGGGTAGTAGGGGAAGGGGTAGACCTAGGAAGAATTGGAAGGAGGTGATTAGGCAGGATTTAAGACTTCTCACCCTGACTGAGGATATGGCTTTAGATAGGAACCTTTGGAGAACTAGGATTAAAGTAGCTAGATAGGAGCCCGGTGCTGCAGAGGTTTTTTGTAGTGTGTTGTGTTTGGTTGGAATCTTTTGCTATTGCTTGCAAGACTTTCATTCCATTGTACTTGGTGCTTTATCTGTGTTGTACTGTGTTCCCTACCATATTTTTTGTGCAGGTTGAGCCGGGGGTCTCTTGGAAACAGCCTCCCTACTTCCTGGTAGGATCAAGATCTGCGCACACACACCCTCCCCAGACCTACTGTAGTGAAAATCAACTGAGTTGTTGTTGTTGTTGTTTACTTCAGCATTGTGTTATCACAAAGAAAACTAAGTCATAGATCCATTGGAGTACTCTTGACCTTTTCTGTCGTTAACTTGCTTGGTTCTCTTCTCCGCGTTAATATTTTTCAACGTATTCTGTATTGACTGTATAATAATTCCCACGGAAGCGCTCGATTTCCAATCAGCAGAACTGCAGGTGAGGTTTTGAAGGTTGCATGATGGCTTGCTCTCAATGAAGCTCAAGTCTGAACATATTGACAGTTTGACACTTTTCAGGTTCTTTTTGCTTTTGCATTTTTCTTTTTCTTCATGGTTCAGGTTGATCTCATTGACAACACATTTGTGAATTTCTTAAGCATTCAAGTAATAAATCCAATAATTAGAGAGCTCATCTTATTTTAACAATGATTATAAGCTTACCCAAGAGTACCTCTAGATTTGACAGGCCATCTCACATAACCAGGCTGGGTGTGGACCTTAAGAAGTAGTACTAATCATATTTAATTTCCTTAAGTTGGGTGAGAGGTTTTTTACATGTAGACATGTTATGATCTATTTGAAATAAAACTCTAATAATGTTTTTGGTAAATTTTACTGTGTTAGAGGTGTACATTTCAATTTTGGGTAGTGAATTGGAATGTCTGATCTGATATGTTTGGTTATGTCACAAATGGGAATTTTTCTTTCTTGATTCAGCTAACATAAGCTGATTGCTTGTATCATTATTTACATTTTGTTCTTCAATAGTCATCTTGATTTCCTAGAACTCATATGCTGCTGCATATACTTTATCTTTCTGATATACTACTTCATATACTAGTTTTTCTCTCTCTACCCCAAAATAAAATTTACAATATGATTTTTATGGTCAAAGTTTATAAACTTTGACCATGTTTAGCATTAAAAAATATATTGAGTTATGATTTAAGTTTAATGATACTAAATTCATTTTCGAATATAACATTAGAATGTATTAAATTTAAATATATAATCATCAATATTAGAGTCAAAGTGTCACATTGTCTAAAGTCAAACTTTGAAGTTTATTTTGGAAGAGAGAGAGAGTACATGTTTTCCTCTTTCTTTTACTTGGAGTTTGCTCATCACCTAATACATGTTTCCTGTTCTGCTCTTTGAGTCGGGATGCAGAGGACAAGTAGTCCACTTAGAACACAACAATGGAAGAAACTGATAGGATCTAGAATAATTGTATTACTCAAGGTTTGAATTTTTTTATAGACTTTCCAAGCTTATTTTTGACCATAGATTGAGAGCATTGAAAAGCACCAAATGCCTCAGATTTATGTTAAAGAGAGTAAATCCAATAACACTTAGGGTCCGTTTGGTACACGTAATTGACGGAAGTGGAATTGAATTGGGAGTTGAAGTTTTATGGAATTGATTTGGATGGAATTGAATTCTCCAATTCCAATTATTTTTGGCACTACCCATTCCAAATCTACATATTTTTTGTGCAATCAAACAGCAGAATTAGAATTGTTATCCGCAATTTCAATTCCATAGTTTGAATTTGTGTACTAAACGGAGCCTTAGTAAAATTATCCACAAAATTAATATAAAAATGGTAACCACAAAACGAGAGGAGCTTTGTCACTTTTCTACCTTCCAAGCACCCCAACCCACACCCCACTCATGGGATTTACTGTGCAGGGTTTTATTATTGTTATGATCGTAATTTTGAAAGGCAAGCTCCTCCCTTGCCTAAGGCGCCTCAAGCATCCGGGCGACCTTTTACCGCCCTTTAGATGTTCAGGCCTGAGTCGCTTGCTTTTCTCGCCTGAGTTGTTCGTCTTTCTCGCCTTACTGGCTATGGGTCTTTTAAGAAATGAGCTTGCATTTTTTAATACATTTCTATATATTAAATACTCGTTTTTTGAGATACACATGTAGTAACTACTCTAATTATTTTGTTTAACACCTGACTTGCTTGGGATTGACATTATTAATTGCACTGCACTATATATTTTATGTATGTATGTATGTGTGTATGCCCCAAGTTCGCCTTTTGACCGCCCGCCTCTTGTCTCGCCTTTGGCCTTAAAAAAAGGCCCTCTCGCCTTGAAATGACTAAGGGAAACAAGATTCTTTTATGGGACGAAGAACGTATTTCTTGTGGATTTCCTTATGTGACTGAGGAAGTATTTGACAACACTAGGTAAATACTCTCGTAATAGTTAGTATTCTCTTCGTCCGGAAATATTTTTCCCGTTTGATTTTTCACGGTCTATGATGTTGCACTTTGACCATTAATATCTATATCTATACATAGATATATTTTATAAAAAATTGGTATTTCAAAACTATGTTTCAATAGGAATATACTGATATTAAATTTATATTATAATACAATATATTTTTTCAATATGTCGGAGTCAAATTTTGACAAAGAAACGTCGAATGTGAAGATCATTTCCAGACGGAGGGAGTAGATGGTAAGAAGGTTTTTTGGTGTCTTAGTGGCACATATTTGTCTTTTTTTTTTTGGAGATGGGCATGTACACCATTTTTTTTAATTCTCACAAGTTCTTTAAAAATATAAAAGTAATACAATATTGTTTTCTGGTACTTCCATAAAATTCAGATATATGCTTCCTTCATTTTAAAATGGATACAACGTTTTATAATCTTCACATTTGCCAATGCATATATTTAATCGTTTAAATCTTCAATTATGTTTTACGGAGTAAAAAAAACTAAAATAAAAAAAACAATTGTACTGAGAATTTTCTATAAAGACGAATCTAATAAGTGTAAAAAACTTCCTAGATAAGAAGAGTATAAAACTATGAAAATGCCAAAATAAGGGTTATAAGTCTTTTTTACCAAAATAGGAATTCATTGTCATAATTATATTTGCACGTTCACCACATTGTTACATTGTAACTGCAACATTATCACCCCCAAACTGTCATCTGTCGCCGCCGGTCACTAGAGTGCCGCCGTGGATTGCCGACGATTGACTAATCAGACTAATGTATTACACTGTCATCACTTTTTCATCACACTGTCAAGTGTCAACACATACTCTTGCGTCACACTGTCATTATATTCCTATTTTTGGTGATTTGCAGGGATCCTAAGCCTCTTATTTATAGTAGAGAGGCTTAGTACTAACACTATTACAAATAGTATACATACTATACAAATGACAACTTGATGGTGATGATGGACAATTTGTTCCTGCAACTTATGATGGAGCATTACCTAATTAATTGATAAATGAACAATTCATATTTTTCTTAACAGGTTATAGTTTGTCCATGTACTCGTTCAAAGTACTGCTTTAATTCATGAACTTTAATTCCAACGGATTTAGTCGATATACTCCGCAAACATTCTAAAAAGTACTACTTCGGATACGCCAATTTGTGGATGAGTTAGTAAGATGGTGAAGTGACATTGAAGTTAAAGATTTATTTGTAATTAAGTGAATTAACAGAATGGTTCAAACACAATGAATGTAAGAACTTGATTTGACTACTCTCAAATGCAATGGATCAAATATAGCAGATGAATGTAAAGGGCTTCAATTTTCCCTGGTTTCAAGAATTATTTACATAGGTTTGTTTGTTTGGATGGGGAGAGAAAATGAGATAAAAGAAAATGGTGAGAAAGTGAAGTGAAAAAAATCAGTGTTTGGATTGATAGAAAAAGACAAGAAAATGGTGAGAAAAAATGGAAAGAAATTAAGAGGGGAAGGAGGTTTGTGCCGTTTTCTCACGGAGGTGAGCGAGAAAACTTTTTAAGTGGGACTCACATCATTCTTTACCAAGAAAGGAAATGAACTTTTATATCTTCACGAATACAAAATAAAAGTTAGATGTTTATTTTGGAACGAGGGAATAGTAGTTAGAAAATTATTGCTACTACCTCGGTCGAAGTTATTTGTTATGATCTCATTTTTTAAGAAATAAGTAAAGAAAATGTCAAATAAGTCTTTCAAACTCATACTCTATCGATAGGGTATTTTATACGACACAATAGAATTGTTAATTGAATATGAAAAATGGACAATTAATTTCGGACAAACGAAAATAGGAAAGCGGACAACTAAATCCGGGTTATTTTTTTTTGGAGGGTGAGGGATGAAACTAGAGCCATACCTTATTGCTTGCCTAATGGAGAGATGGATGTAAAAGGATAATAGAGGGAATAAGGGTCAAACAAATTACAACCAAGCATGCATGTTAGGGCCAGATCTGGTTGTGTCTTGGATTAGATATATCATCTGGGTGTGGGCTATTACTTCTTGCTGTTCTTCTTGTTCTTGTTCATTCTATCTCCTTAAAATATTCCTACTGGATAACATTATACACAGGGCTTCTTGATTCTTGTAGGGTAGGGTCTTTCAGCCAGATTGGCCTTAACTGCCATTTGGACCCCACCTTCCCACATGCACTTTCTCCCCCTACCCTTTTTCACTCACTAGCTAACCCTTCAATCTCTTTTTGTTCTCTCTATTTATATCCCCCCTTTAAGAAACAACCCCTTCCCATTGGAGAGAGCTGTAGAGAACCAAAATATTCCTTAGCTTGTTACACTTTTTGATATTTGAGATTCTGTTTGTGAATTTGAAGAAATGGAAGTAGCAGTTGAGCTTGAAGATGACCTGTTTTTTGCAGACATAAGCAAGCAAATATCTCTGCTGATAATGGAAGATGAGGAAGAGCCTGTTTTTGCTACATGCCCTTCAGTTTCCTTCCAGGTTTTTACACTTCCTCATGTACAAACATCATCAAATAAGTTCATGGGATTAATAATATTAACATTTTGTGTTGCTGTATATAAAAAAAATGGCCAGTTTCAGACATTTTCTGGGCCACATTTTCCAGCAAGGCCATCTCCATATGTGCATCTTCAAGAGCAAATTTACAGAAGAGAGATTAGAAGCAGCAAAGGCACAGGAGTGTTTATCCCAAGGTCTTCGCAGCCAACGGGCCGCAAGCATCATTATAAACCAGGAGGAAGAAACGCGTCCTCATTCGGCGCGAAATCTAACGCCGGGCAGCATCCTAACACTACAAAAACGGTTTCTCAAGCAAGGAAAGGCTAAAGGGTATAATTAAACTTGGATTTCCATAAAAGAAATGCAGGCTTATTATTGAGGATTTCATGTTTATTGTTATGATTCTGATTTTTATTTTGAGTATTGAAGAGGTTTCTCCCTAAGGGTAATGCCTCCATAAATCTTGGAAATGTATGGTGATCTTTGTACAAGTGTGATATAAGTGAAATAAGTACTTGTTCACTTAAATGTGATTTGGACTCTATTTATAGTATGATTAGAAGGTAGATTCTTGATCCTTATCTACCTAATAATGAGCAATTAGGTAATGCCCTTGAAACTTAATGGGACCCTATGAGTCTTGTCAAAGGGCCATGAAAAGGAAAATAATGAGAATGAAAGGCTTTTAGTTGAAGCTAATACTAGGTGGAAATCTAGTACTCTTTTGACAACTGGATGCAGGTCTATACATGATAGGCCCAAGACATTCTGCATCACTTATTAAAGGAAGACCATGTTAATTTGTTAACTCACAATGTTTGTGTAATGTTAAAATCAAGAATGTTGGTGTAAATGTAGTGTACATGTGCCATTTTTTCAAAGGTTATAACTATTTTTCAAAAATTAATGGTTATAACTAAATTGTAAAAGTATATCTAAGTTGTTTCAGCAATTGAACTCTCTCAAAGAGAAAGCAACATTATGAGCTTTTCTTTTTCATGGTTTCCCACCTACAAAGATTTAGCAATGGAATACAGTGTTTCTATGGCGGACCTAAGTCACACCAGTACTTTGTGGGCTTTCTTACATTTTTTAATTTGCTCATCTTTAGTAAGTATTGATGATTACCTCGCTCATCTATAAGTGCATTGCAGACCTTAGGTCCATGGTAAAATTTACTTCTAAAATACAAAGTTGCACATTTAACTGATCACTATGACTTTTATGATACATAAAAAGTTAAATAAATAAAAGAAATGTCATGCTTATATTAAATCAATTTTTAGTATCACAAAAATCGTACTCCCTCTATTCATAAAAAGGTTTCACATTAATTTTTTTCATTCGTCTAAAAAAAGGTTCCATTTTTCAATCTTAAAAATCTGAATTCTGATCCTTATAAATTTGGGAAATTTACTTAAATGGTACTAAAACATAGTGACTTTTCCAATGTAGTATAATACGGAGTATGTTTTTATTTCCCAGTGTAGAACCACTCATCATTGTCCATTGGTCATCGTTCAAGAAAATGTTCAGCGTCACTGGACATTGTTCAAACGAAATATTCACCGTTGGACATTATTCCCACTATAGACATTATTCAAGTACTATTTAGGAATAAAAAAGTTTAAGTACTAAATTATGATATGGCATATGTTTTAATACTATTTAGTACAAATTTCACTTGAATTTGGAAATGGACCTCACCTCACAAAAGCGAGTCCAACACACTCAAGATAACGTCTAACGTCTATTTGTGTTTTAATGATATTATGCAGGGATTGCATGATGAACCCAAGAAGACAATGACAAAAGTAGTCGTTGAAGTTTGAGCATTGGAGCGAAGTATATGAAAAGGAGCAAACAAACCGAGTCAAGGTCAAGCCGATGGACCGTTCGGGTGACACCGTCAACCTTGCAATGTACTCCAACAGAGCTTGCTACAGACGGTTGAATCAGATGGGCCGTTACAACCAAACGTGTTAGAGTGTTATCCCACATCGAATGTTTAAGAGTAAAATAATTGGTATATAAGCTCTAGAGTTGAATTAACTAATAGATTGAAGATCGAAGGTAGAAATTAAGTAAGGGACAATTTTGTGTTGACTTTCCAAAAATACCCTTGATGTGATGGGTAAAAGTAGGATGTGGTGTGTAGATTATTAGAAAAAAGGTATGATGTGATAGGTAGGGTTTGAAAAAGTTAGGGGGTAAAAATGGTTTTTTAATAGGAATGGGTAGGAGATTGTGGGACACAATTTTTTTGAAAGGCGTAAATCTTTTTGGGACGGATGGATGGAGTATATATAAAATAAGTCTTACGTCGTACTGAATTATTCATTCATTCATCCATTCAATCTCCAGACACAATCAAGCTTAGCTTAATAATTAGTAGCTTGTTAAACTAATACATACGGAGTAGTATTTTTTTTTTTTTGGTTCGTTGATTAAAAAGAATTCCATAAACTAGATTAATTGGGAAAATGTTTGGGGGTGTTTGTACGCATTCTGCCACATCCTTGGTGCCGGATATCGCAGCAGCATAATTGGCTATGATATATTTTCTGCGATTATTGGCCTTTAGATCTTACGGATTATTTCCTCTATGCTTCAATCCACTTTGCTTCCACATTTTCTGCGATTATTGGCCTTTAGATCTTACGGATTCATCACCCTATTCCCATCTCTAAAATGGAGTTTTATTAAACCTTATTTACAGTCTGTTCTTTTATTTATTTAGAACTTAAACTCTTAACTTTCAGTTATTTACTAGTTCTTTCTAGTTTCTTTGAGCTCCTTCCAATTCTTCCTTTTTTTCTAGTTTCTTCCAGTTCCTTTCCTTTTCTTCCAACTATTCTCATTTTCCTCAAACTATTTCTACTCCCCAACCAATTACTCTAAAAATGATATATTTTTAATGTAATTATTATTATTATTATCCTTATTATTACTACTACTGTTATTATTATTACAACTGTTATGTTCATAACTATAGTTTATAAATTAGTTTCTTCATCTCACTATTTTTACAATTCACACTCATTATTTTCTTCAACTTTTTAATATGAAAAAAACAATGTTTTTGTATATTAATCTACATGATAAAACATGAAAACATCAATATTTGTGTATAAAATAGTTACATAGAATGCTTTATTAATCTAACTTTATATATAACCTCTCAGCTTTCACTTTATTACTCCAAATTTTCTCATTTTTCTAATTTTTTTTTTTAAAATAAAATTGAAAGTAAAAATAGTTTAGAGATAAATACTAAAATATGAGTAAAACATAAAAAATGTAAAAAATAATATATGTCTTTATTCCAAAATAGGACTTACAATGAAAATAAAATGTCAAACATGAAAGAAAAAATAAGTTTGTTTACATTATAAGACATGTCTGATTTTTAAAACAAAATCTTGTAATATATATAAAGTATAATTACAAATATATCATTTATAATAAATATTGCAAAAATAAATTGAGGTGAACATAACCACAAAAACTTTTTAAAATTTAACATTTTGACATTTATGCTAACCTTATATTATAATTATTTTTTGCAAAAGTAGTTTTTTTTGTATTTGAAAAATAACACTACTTTTTTTATTATCTTAAAGTCATTTATAAAGATAACGTGATAATGATGATGATATTATAATAATAATAATAATAAAATAATTTATAAAAACAAGAACTCTAATTAGAATAATATAAAAATACACTAAAATAATTTTTTTTTAAAGTTTTTCTAGGTTTTCCAATTTTTTGAAGTTTTTTTAGTTTATTCGAGTTCCTTCCACTTCTTTCTAGAGTTCCTTCCTATTTTTCTAATTTCTTCCCGTTTTTTTCGAGTTTTTTCACGTTTCATCCAATCCTTCCAGTTTTTCCAGTTCATTCTAGTTTTTTCCAGTTTCTACTAGTTCTTCTAGTTTCTTCCAGTTTCTTCCAAAATCTACCTCTTTTTTTGCAGTCCTAAAGAACAGACTCTTAGAATCTATTCTTTAGGACTGAAAAAATAGTAGGATGTTGGAAAAACTAGAAGATACTGAAAGGAACTCAAAGAAATTAGAAGAAAATAGAAGAAACTGCAAGGAATTGGAAAAAACTCGTAAAACTTCAAAAAATTGAAAAACTTAAAAAAACTTTTCAAAAATTTATTTTAGTGTATTTTTTATATTATTCTCATTCTAATTCTTGTTGTTATAAATTATTATTACTATTATTATTATTATCATTATTATTATTGTTATTATTATTATCATTATCATCATCGCGTAATCTTAATGAATGCATTTAAGATAAAAAGATATTGTTATTTTTCATACACAAAAAACTACTTTTGCAAAATAAAATTATAAAATAAATTTAGCATGAATATCAAAATGTTAAATATTAAAAACTTATTATGGTTGCGTTGTACCTCAATTTATTTAGGCAGTATTTATTATAAAATAATATATTTGTAATAATACTTTATATATTACAAGATTTTATTTTAAATATCAGACATGTCACATAATGTAATCAAACTTATCTTTTATTTCATGATTGAAATTTTATTTTTATTGTAACTATTGAATTATGATTTCAACTCAAGAAAATAATTGTGTACAAGGTAGTTTATGTAGATGGAGATTCCTATATCAATTAGGATTCTCCAAGTATGGTAATTAATTATAATAACAATCCTTCCATAACTACACCTATTACCATATTTATCTAACATCTCCCCTCAAGCTGAACGCCGTGAAACGAGAGGAAGCTTGGTGACCAATGCAGAATAGCGCGGTGAAGAGAGAGCTTTTGTGAGAAGGTCCGCAAGTTGCTCATGGGAAGGAACATACGAGACTGTCATTTATTTAGCAATTACTTGTTCTCGTACAAAATGGTAATCACTACCAACATGTTTCATTCGCTTGTAAAATACAGGATTCTTTGTCAGACAGATGGTGGACTGATTATCACAAAAAAGATGAGGAGGAGGAAGCTTAATCCGTAAGATGTTAAATAAATAGGTGAGCCACATTACTTCAGCTGCGGCAGCCGAGAGTGCTCAGTACTCGGCTTCGGTGGACGACCATGACACGTGGCTTTGCTTCTCCGTACTCCAAGAGATCAGATTTGAGCCAAAGTATATCAAGTAGACCTGATCAAAGTGCGGGCCGGGCCGGATTTTGGGGCCGGGTCGAGACACTACTTTACGAGAATTTTCTAGGGCTGAGCCCGGCCCGGCCCGTATAACGGGCCTAACAATTGAAGCCCGAGCCCGGCCCGCATGGTTACCCGCGGGCTTTGGGCCGGCCCGGCCCAACCGACAAAAACTTCTAAATAATTTAAAAAATAATTTTTTTTAAAAAAATAAAGTAACAAGTTAATATATTAGATATTTGATATAAAAACTAGTGAAACAATTATGAGTAATGAAAGAAAAATTAATATATAATTATATTTTGTTTGATATTGCTACTATGTATGGAGTACAAAATATTATCTATTGAGATGTCATAATCAATATGTGATACGTTGCAAACAATACGGAGTAGTAAAGATATATTCATTTTATTATATAAACTTATAGTTTATTTTTTCTCTCCATAGAAGTATGTATGTGTGTTTATAATAATTTGAAACAGGTTTGTTCTTTATTATTATTATTAATGTTGTTATTGTTATTTTATTATAATTATATTAATAATAAATATTTTAATTTTTTCGGGCCGGGCCGGCCTGTGGGCTTGAGCATAAACCCGAGCCCATTCCTAAAATCTTCGGGCCGCCATTTATAAGGCCCAAGCCCAGCCCAAGCCCGCTATTTTGCGGGCAGGCTTTTGCAAGCGGGCCGGATACCAGGGCCCGTGATCGGGTCTAATATCAAGTAACCAGTAACAGAGCGTCCATCGGTCATATTATTAGCCCAATCCGAGTCAGAATATGCCTGAATGACGTGTGGTCCACGCCGGAATATTAAACCACAATCAATGGTTCCTTTGACATAGTGGAGGATACGTTTTAAGGCCTGGAAATCCTGCTCAGTGGGTGCATGCATGCGTTGACAAACATAATTCACAGCAAATTGAATATCTGGTCGTGTGTTGGTTAAATATTGAAGAGATCCAACTAGGCTGCGGAAAAAGGTAGGGTTGTCAAACGGGGGACTCTCCCCCTCGTCATTCGGCCGAATAGGCAGCGGCGTAGGGGCTGTTTTGCAGTCCTCGACGCCAGCTTTATGAAGCAGTTCACGGGCATATTTCTCCTGAGACAAAATTAGACAATCCTTTTTGCGCGTCACCTCAAGTCCCAAAAAATAGTGGAGAGGGCCAAGATTCTTCATTTGAAACTCTTGTTGCATAGCATGAATAAATGAAGAGATGAGAGAGGAGGCGCTACCAGTAACAATGATGTCATCAACATAGAGAAGAATAATCAGAATACCAGATGGAGAGTGCTTAACAAAGAAGCTTGTGTCATGTTCATTTTTCCCAAAGCCATAATCAGCAAGGAAGCCGGAGATACGTTGATACCAAGCTCTTGGTGCCTGTTTCAAACCATACAAGGATTTCTATAATTTACACACATGATGAGCGTAGCGCTCATTGATATATCCTGGAGGCTACTTCATATAAATTTCATCAGGAATAACACCGTGAAGAAAAGCATTTGAGACATCTAACTGATGAAGAGGCCAGTTCTCATTAATAGCTAGGGAAAGAACCATCCGAATAGTTTGTTGTTTAACAACTAGGCTGAAAGTCTCAGAGTAATCCAAGCCATATTCCTGTGTATATCCCTCTACCACTAGACGTGCTTTGTACCTGGAAACAGAGCCATCAGAGTTATGCTTAATTTTATAAATCCACTTACACCCAATAGGGACACAATCTGAAGGTGACGGAATGAGATCCCACGTGTGTTGACTAATCAAGGCATTATATTCTTCATCCATGGCCTGACACCAATAACTATTCTGGGAGGCTTCCTTATATATTTATGTTTTTATTTATATATATTATATTTAATGGTGTCTAAAAAAATTATGTAATACATTTTTAAAGGTACGGAGCAAACGAAGGATGCAATGTGGGATCGTATCGAGGAGAAGTTCTTCATGGCGATGAAGAAGGACGGCTCCTACCAAACTCGGGACCAACTCACTTCCAAATGGAGCCACATCAACAAAAAAAGTCTGAAAGTTTATCGGAGTTTACGAGGAATGCTCCCGGTCCCGGAGGAGCGGCACGAACGACGCCAATGTTCTCCGGCTTGCCTCAACCCGGTATCAAGACGACGGGCACCAAGACAAGGTTCCCATCGATCTTTGGAGGATTTTGAGTCGTTCCCCGAAGTGGCAACAACTCAACAATCCTGACGACGGATCGTTCCGGAAAAGATCCACCGTCGGCGCCGAGGTTCAAGTCGACGAGACTATCGGTTCTACCGATCAAATCCCTCCCGTCAACGTTGCGGATTCCGATGACAAGGACCCCATTCCACGGCCGATCGGAAGAAAGAAGGCAAAATCCATTGCCTCTGGTTCGGGAGGGTCCGCCTCTGTTTCCGCTTCTTCTCGCGACGAAATCGGCCGGGAAATGGTTGAACAACTTCGGGCGTTCAATCTCCGAGAACAAGAGAGGTTGAAGCTAAAGGAGAAGGAGTTGAAGCTAAAGGAGCAGGAGGCCGAGATGAAAGTCATGCAAACCGACCACGGGACGTTGTCGGAGTTTGGACTAATGATCTACGAGCAAAGAATGAGAGAGATCAAGGAGAAATATAATTTATCTTAGTTTTTTTATTAATGTATCTTTTTTTAAATTATTGTCGCTTTTTTTTATTTAATTAATGTATTTTTTTATTATTCGTGTTTCAATTTAATTAAATAATAAATTAATTACATTTTATTAATTTAATTTTAGAAGATATATATTTAAAAATGTAAAAAATGAAGGTTTGAAGCCCCGGGGCTTCAAACCCATTTCCAGTGAATTTTGGGTGTAAGTTAAAGCTGACGTGGCAGAGAGAGAAAGTTTGAAGCCCCGGGGCTTCAAACGTATTTCCAGTGCTCTTAAGAGGGATGCTAGGAGTACACCAAAAGTGTACTCCAAATGCACACCACCCATTTTTTTACCACACATTTTTATTTATTTATTTCTTGTTTAATTTATTTGCCATTATGGCAATATTTATAGCATTGGAGGGGGTGCTCTATATTTGGGGTACAATTTTGGTGTACTCCTAGCATTTTTTAATCCTTAAATGTGCCCCTGGAGGAAAAAGCTATTTGTACCCCAAATTTTTGTATCCCACTTTGTAACCCACAGGTTTGCACCAACACTTTGTATTGGTGTAAAATTAATTTTTGTTAATGCACCAACACTTTGTGTCCGTGTAAATTTTTGTCTATGTACTAACACTTGTGTCGGTGTAAACCATCAAAATGTTTGTGTATAACTGCGGTATACAAATGAGGTATAATTTGTGGTGTAAGTGTAGCATGGCCCATCGCCGGAATGTTTGGTCATACGGAGCACTTCTTGGCCCTATTACTTCTCAAATTTGATGCCGGAGCCGATTTTCGGAATTTTGTGTGAAACATTAAAACTAAATGGTGGGCTGGTTCGCACGCATCAGTTACAGCCCATGCTCAATATTTGTTTTGGGAAAGCCAAACTTTGGTTCTGATCTTGAGTTATAATGTTAGGCCCATATTTTCAAAATAACAATAATAATAATGTTAGGCCCAGTGGTTATTTACAATATTTGTATTGGCTATTTTACACGTAACATTAGAAGTCTCACCAAAGGGCTTGCTTTGCATTGGGAACTACCCAATTTCTTAATTCTTAATCTCTATGGCTCCCAATTCATCAATTAAGGCATTTGGGAGATTACTAGTCATTTTTGGCTTTGAACACTTGTATTCAAGTGTGTGAACTTGAACTTCTTCCCAATACTAGAAAATAAAAACACTACCGAGAATCTCATTATACACATTGGGGAAGTATGCATTATTGGAACAAAGAATAAGAATCTAGATCTACTATTCATATTGATGGGTATATTATGAGTTGGTCCAATATAATATGCCTAGTGCAATTCATTCAAGTGATTATAGATTGGCACGTGACGAAAGCTTTGCTCACATGAGAAAGGATGTGATTCGTGATGATCCAGTAGCGAGATACACCCAACGGAACGTGTATCAAAGTGACGGGCAGGTCAAGAAGACAAGAGAGATCTCGCGTGATAACTCATTGGTGCTGCTACTCATGCATGTACTGCAATTAGAGGGCTAATTAAATCAGTGCATCAGTTTTTGTCCTTGTTAATTATTTTTTCATAAGTATTTGAATTCGTCCTCCACGACATACATACTTCAAATCTTTGTAACGTCAAACATTATCTATTCACAATTGAAATATTATCGTCGTCAAAAACTGAAAAATAATCAAATAGTCCTTATTTCTCGACAATTTGTTATGTGAGTACAAGGGATAGTTTATACAAGAATAAGAATAGCCTAGGGTAGCCTAGAGTTTTCTAGAGTGATTCATAATTAAGGTGTGATAATTACATTAATCATGGTGGTATAAATATGTTACAATATAATACTCCCTCTGTCCCAAAAAGTTTGTTACGTTTAGAAAAAACTGCGTCCCGTAAAGTCTGTTACATTTCTATTAAAAAACCACTTTTACCCCTTACTTTTTCATACCCTACCTATCACATCATACCTTTTTTCTAATAATCTACCCATCACATCCTACTTTTACCCATCACATCAAGGGTATTTTTGGAAAGTGAATACCAAAATATCCCTCCCTTAATTTCCCAAAAAGTCAAACCGTCCCATTCTTTTTGGGACAGAGGGAGTACATTAAATATAATAAGTATTATATTTAACATGCTCCCAACTATCTAGGCGGTACTGAACAAGCACAAAGATTGTCTCTGAAATCAAGAAATAGCAGAGATGGTAGTCCTTTTGTGAAGATATCTGCATACTGTGTGGATGACGGAACATGTAGAACTCGAACCTCACCCAAGGCAACCTTATCTCGGACAAAATGAATATCTACCTCCACATGTTTGGTTCTTTGATGTTGAACAGGATTAGAGGAAAGGTACATTGCACTCACATTATCACAGAAGACTAACGTAGCATGACGTAATGGTTGTTGAAGTTCCAACAACAGATTCCTTATCCAACTTGTCTCCGCTATAGCATTTGCCACTGCCCGATATTCTGCCTCTGCACTAGAATGAGAAGTGGTAGCTTGTCGTTTAGAGGACCATGAAACAAGATTATCACCTAAGAACACACAATAGCCAGATGTGGAGCGACGAGTGTCTGGACATCCAGCCCAATCAACATCTGAATAGGCCTGCAAGGCATCTGTGGCTGAACGGGTAAGAGTGATACCGTATGTGGTTGTTCCATGCAAATATCGAAGGACCCGCTTCATGGTTGTTAGATGGGGAACCCGTGGGTCATGAGGATGAAGAAAGAGTTGCTGGATGGCATAAGTGATGTCTGGTCGAGTAAAGGTAAGATATTGAAGTGCACCAACAATGGAGCGATACAAGGTGGGGTCCTCTATCGGGGAACCGCTGGCCGTCCCTAGCTTGCTCTTTGTGTCAACAGGGGTGGATATGGGTTTACATGTGAGCATCCCGACACGCTCTAGAATCTCATGCGTAAATTGAGTTTGATGAAGATAAAGGCCGTGTTTTGTTCGCTCAACATTTATGCCAAGAAAGAAATGAATATCTCCCATGTCCGTCATGGCAAATTCTCCCTTCAGCCGTTGTGTGATACGTTGGAGTAGCAAGGTAGAGGAGGCTGTGAGAACAATGTCATCAACATAAAGAAGAAGATAAGCTGTGTCCTTCCCATGAGTATAGACAAAACGTGAGGTGTCGGTTTTGCATCCTCGAAAACCCAATGACTGAATGAAGGTGGCAAACCGATGATACCAGGACTTGGGTGCTTGATTTAGTCCATAAAGTGTTTTATTGAGTTTGCACACATAATGCGGATGAGAGGGATTCTGAAACCGAGATGGCTGAGTGGAATACACCATTTCTTCTAAATTTCCATGAAGGAAGGCGTTCTTGACATCAAACTCATGAATTGGCCATCCACGGAAGAATGCCAAGCTGAGGACTATACGAACAGTCACAGGTTTCACCACCAGGCTGAAAGTCTCTTCATAGTCAACATCGTAACATTGATTGAAACCGCGGACCACCCACCGAGCCTTGTACCTAGATAGATCACTTGTAGGACCAAATTTGTGACGAAAGAGCCATTTTCCGGTGATGACATTTTGATTAGGGGAAGGGGGTACTAGTTCCCATGTATTATTTTTTTTAATCAAAGCATTAAATTCATCCGCCAAATTGCCCGCTGCTACCCCGTCCGTCTCTGCCTCCGCGTCCACCACTGATCTGCCTTCCTCTGCGAATCGCCCGCTGCTCTGTTGGACTTGAGTTCCATAAGCGCCTCCACCAGGAGGAAAAGAAGTGGTATGCGATTGGCCGGTCCTCCCAGCGGCTAGAAGCGCCGTGCCAGACTCGCTAGCGGCCGGAGATGTTCGCTGCTGATCCAATATAAGCAGGGCGGATCGAGCTTCCAAGAATGTCGGGCCGGGGGAGGCTTCTGAAACTGGAGAAAGGATGCCCGACTTTGGAGATCTTCCGGGAGACCGTGGAGGAGTTGGAGGACGAGTTGATTGTCGGTCACGGGTGCATGAACGTCATCCAACTAATCGGCCAAATTCTTGTGTGTTTGACAATAGTCAACCATGGATTTTGTGCCTTTGACCGTAGTGCAAAATTGATGCTCAAGTTGCATCGCTCTCGCGTTCTTATTATCGTGAAAAAGATCATGAATCACCTTCCATAATCCGGTGGCGGTGTCATGAGAGGCAATGATGAGATCGGACACTTCATCGGTGACTGTTGAGAGAATCCATCCTTGAAGAAGGGCATCAAACTGGACCCATTCCGTGTCGTTATCACCGAAGGGTTTTGTGACACCGGTGAGATAGCCTTGGAGATTGAAATGTCGCACAAGAAGAAGAAAGAGGCGACTCCATTTTTTATAGTTAGGAGCAGAGATGCTAAGTTGAATAAGGATATGAAGCTTGATGTTTGAGATGGTTGTGAAGGCGAGATGAGGATAATTTGGCGTGGTGGAGGTAGAAGTAGTAGTAGAGGAGTTGTCGGACGCCATGTCGAGAAAAAAAGAGAGGAAGAGATTGCCGAAGAAGATGATCAGCGCTAGTGAGAAGTAAGGGAGAGAGCCGAACCAAGAGGGAGGGTTAGGGCTCGGGATTTGGCTCTGATACCATGAAAAATAATCAAATAGTCCTTATTTCGCGACAATTTGTTATGTGAGTACAAGAGATAATTTATACAAGAATAAGAATGGCCTAGGGTAGCCTAGAGTTTCTAGAGTGATTCATAATTAAGGTGTGATAATTACCTTAATCATGATAGTATAAATATGTTACAATATAATACGGAGTACATTAAATAATCACAACTACCATATGAACATTTAATTAATAATGGGGTCGACATTTTCATAACGTGGTGTATAGACTAATTAGAAGATAGTTATAACCCAAAACTTCAATCTCTTCATTAAAACGTAAACCATAATAAGCATACACAAACAGACACACACAAACGAACAAACGAATGTGTCAATGTGATCCTCCATGGATACACAGATCGACTTCTGCACGTGAAGCTATTTCAGCACGTAAGGCACCCGAGTCGGGGAGAAAAAAAAGAGAAAGAAATTACGAAAGAAGAATCTATAATTATGTATTGGGTATGTAAATAAGTGCATGGGTTCTTAATTAATTAGCTAGTTAAAGATGGAAGCTTTGCAGTGAATGAGATCAAGAGCTACCCTTAATTTTCAGCTGGAAATACCTCTTTATATATATATATATATATATATATATATATATATATATATATATATATATATATATATATATATATATATATATATATGTATGTATGTATGTATGTATGTATGTTCAAAACCATTCTAAATCTTTGAGCTCATTCCCAAGAAACCAATTCTGAGGATCATCAAAAAGCAAAGATGGAACAAGACATCAAATAAAAAGAATAACCTAATAAATAATAATAATACTATATAATTACCTAATTTAATAATAAAAACCCAAAACCAGATGATATATATATATGTATGTATATATATATATATCTGAGATCGATCAGCAGCAGCTAGCTAGCCCTTATAAATATATATATATATATGAAATTAGTTGATTGAATTCAATTCTAGTCACGCTCCTTTTGTACCCAATCTGGTCTGCCTAAAGTGAACTCCAGGATGGGATTCTTTTCACAGTCCTGCACAAAATGCATGCATGGGTTTAACCTTGGTAAATTTTGACTTTTTTAGATCAACATTGGTAAATTAACATTGTTCACTTTTAACTTTTTTAGATCAACATTGGTAAATTTTGACTTCAAACTAAATAAAAATGATATTAGATACTCGTACAAAATTAATTTGATTAGATTTATTATATCAAATATTTTCAAAATATTATTTTACCTAATTACTATACAATATACTCCCTCCGACCCTGTGTATTTGTCCAGTTTGACTTTTTGGAATCAAACTGGACAAACTTTGAACTTCAATTAAATAAAAACCGTAATGTATTTTAATATAGAAATGACTTTATTGGATATATCGTATTGAGAACATTCAAAATTGTATTTCATTATGCTAATATGCCATATAAATTGAGAGTAATTGGACTTCAAAGTTTGTCCAGTTTGACTCGGAAAAATCGAACTGAACAAATACACTCGGACGGAGGTGGTATATTTTATTGAATCATAGGCCATGAAAATAGTTGATCGAAAAAAGTCAAAACTACTAGACAAATATTAAGGGGCGGAGATAGTATATAATACAGGCTAAAGTGGATGTAATTAAAAAAAAACATACTTCAATGGGATGACCACATCTTTGCTGGTGATGAAATGAGGAAGAAGATGATCTGATAAGGCCACTCCCCTCATGGGAATTGCTTGTCTGCAACCATCCTTCTCTGCTGCTGCAAGTATTTATATATTTAGAACCACAAATATTATTTATGTCATATATTTACGTTAAATTGAGAAGTTAATTGCAAAATGGAGAGATCAATTACATTACGGGTCCGTTTGGTACACGGAATTGATGGAATTGGAATTAAAATTCCATGGGGATTCAATACCATAGAATTGGAATTAAAATTACACGGAACCTACATGTTTTTAGAATGCGATCAAAATAAATATTTAGACACTTTAGAATGATTTGGAAACAATATAATTAAGAGTCAAGGTCATGTTACTAGAGAATATTTTCTCATCACTTTGGCTCTCACTATTTCTACAATATCATTTCAAAAGATTAAGCCTCTTTTATTCCGGACACAAATTTGAAAGCAATTGTTCTTTGAAATGAAGAAGTGGGGATGGAATAAAGAATCTTTAAAAGAGTAGTAGATTTTAGATAACTGAGGAATTAACCAAATGAGGTTAATTAACCTATTCACACATCCTTTCTCCACCAATCAAATTTCTTCTTGATTTGACTTTTACACTATATTTGGTTCTAGAAATTTGCAAGGAAAAAGAAAAAAAAAAGAGATGGAAAAAAAAGAGTCTTTCTTGTTTGGTTAAAAAGGAAACGAAAAGAACTGGCAGAAAAGAAAATGAGAAGACAAAATATACTAGAAGGAAGTATACTACTCCATCTTTCCCTAAAAGATTACCACATTTTGACTTTTTTTATCAAATTACTGCATTTATTGACCATGAATTATGAAAAAAGTATATTTAGTTATAATTTAAATTTAGTAAAATTGGTTTAAATTTAGAATATAGTTTTAAAATATAAATTTTTTATAATATTTAATTCTTAGTCAAAGGATGCCACAATTTGACAAAAAAAGTTAAACTGTAGCAATCTTTTAGGGACCGATTTTTGGAGTATTTAACTACTGTTTTATCCTACCATATTAGACACCTTTTGGGATCTACTCCATCGGCCTGAATTTAGTTGTTTACTGTTCTGTTTTCATTGATATGAAGTATAATATGAGTGTATGAGCATTGCTAATACTCCCTCTATCTAAAAAAGATCGTCACACTTTGATTTTTTTATCAAACTATGCTATACTATGACCACAATTTGTAGGAAAAAAATATATGTAGTTATAATGTAATTTAGTAATTCTGAAATCATTTGAAAAAACAGTTTTGACCAAAAAAATCAAACTATGATGCTCTTTTGGAAGGGATGAAGTATCAATGAGTCACAAACTGATCACTCCAATGACTTGTTTAAACTTCCAAACCCGTTTTTCTTAAAACAAAAGTTTTTAAAAAAATGGACGACAAATTTGAGACGGATGAAGTATATAATAAAGGAGTGACATAAAAGTGTTTGGAGGACTATTTCATACATCAAATTGACAAAATGGCGTTTCTAATCTTGACACAACTTTTTCAAATCTCACAAGCAAAACAAGAACATGTAGTAGTTAGTAGTAGTAGTAGAGTAAGCTTTCTTCAATTCAATTCTTTTCCCAACCCACTCCCCAAAACTCCTCCTGCAGCTAATTAACTAGCTTCACTTGTTACTTGTGTGTGCTTTTCATAACAAAAGACACACACAAAAAGACAAACACACGAACACAAACAAAGCATGGCTTCTCTACATAAATGCCACTTTGAGAAAAAGGAGAGCACTTAGGTCAAGATTCTGACCCCTTTCTCCCCCTTTACGCTAATTCTAATTAATTCCCCCCCCCGGAATGGAATAAATTCAACACCCATTTATTTATTTATTTATTTATTTATTGTAATAGTACTGGGGGTACGTAATATATTAACAATAGACTGAAAAAGTTAGTCTTTCTACTTTATTCATTCCAATCCCAACCAAACATAGCATGACGCAAGAGAAAGTTATAATATTGGTCAAAAGATTTGAAGACCACCCTTTGTTTGTAAATGTTGTTTTTGTTTTGTTTTGTTATTATATTGTTGACTTTGATGAGATTAGACTGACCTAATCAGATAGTCAAAATTAATAGTTCTGGAATTAGTAAAGCTATTACAACAAGGGTGAGATATAAGGGGGTGTTTTGGGCAGTTTTTTTTGTCATGAAAAAGCTCTTGGAGGTAAATAATTAGCCAAACAAAGAGCATAAAAAATTCTACAAAGTAAATTACTCTAAAAATGGACAAATTTTGAAGGAAACGGATAATGTACCAAAATAAAAGTTTGGGTGTCTGGATTGGACCGACAATTTCTAGCTGAGAGGAGAGAAAATGAAAGGCAAACAAAATTAAAAAGCATATAAGGCTATCTTATTAATTAGCTTTTGTTGTTGTCATGAAAAAAAATAAAAATAAAAATGGGTCAGTGGACAACACCCAATTAATTTCCATTACTTTAAAAAGTCACCTGATCCTTAGCTCGTACCACTGCATTTTACTCAATATATTCACTTAATTCGCTGTAAAATGGTTTTCTAACTTTTCTTTATATATATATATATATAAAACCAGGAGTAAATTTTATGCATTCATCTTGTTATTAATTATTAAGATAATGGTACATTAAATTAATTACTGCAATTAATTACCTTGAAGAGTTACTCCACAGGCTAGCTGCCGCGGTGGAGGTGAAATCCGGCTCTTGTTGAAAAGACCCATCCGGAGGACCTCTTTGGTCGGTAAGACGAAAACTGCCGCCGGTGCTGCCGAGCACGGTCAAGTCGTCATCACCGGACCCATCGGATTGCCCTTCACAACCCACATTTTCCCAAAGATTTAGGTCAGAGTGTAATAAAAAAATATACTCCCTCCGTCCCCAATTTGATTACAATTTGCGGGTTACGAGAAAAAAATTTTCTTTTTTTGAAATCTTTTTATTTACAAATTGATATATCAATAAGATATAAAAATTACATATTAAAAAATTACATCAAAAGTTCTACAAAGCAAAAGGTGACAAGAATATTTTATTTTATCAAATACTTAATGAAATTGCGTAAATAAACAAAAGTTATCGAGAAGAGAAAAAATTGTAATCAAAATAGGGACGGAGGGAGTATAAATTAGGCCTAAAATAGATTGTTTTTTTAAAAAAAAAATGAGCAAGAAGATTAATTAATGAATTAGCAAAGAATAAAGTACTACTAGCATAAACAAAATTAATTACCTGAGGAAACCGCAGGTTTGTCAGTGGTTTTAACAGTTCGATACATCTGCGACATTTGGGAAATTTAAGCGATGTTATTATTGATTAATTTTTTCCAAATCAGGACAATATTTACCCTTCGTAAATACTCCATTTTTTTTGTTTTCATTCTAAACAACAATTCTTATCAGATAATTTCAACCCAATAATATATTCCAAATCAAACCCTTCCACTCCCTCACCTCTCCCCCCCACCGTCCACATCATAGATAACATTATACTCCCTCCACTCAAAATAAAATTTCCACTTTTTCAAAAAAATGTCCAAAATCAAATCCGTACTTCTTTATTTTTTTATTCAGAAAAAAAAAAATATTTTTTTCTTAAACTCTGTGAAATTAGAGACGGTACGATTTATTTTCGAGGAAAAAGACACTGAGGAGAGGGGCAAAATGGGGTTTTGGAGGAGGGTGGAGAAGTGGTAATGATTTGCTAATAATGTGTGTGTGGGGGGTGGAGTGGGGTGGGGTGGGGGGGTGGGATTAGTCAAGAGGAAGATGTTTGATAAGAATGAATGAAGTGGGAAAAGGGTTTCATAGGCTAGGTATAATAGCTCAGCTCTATTGTGTGTGTATTATTGAGAAATGATGACTTACTTTTGTCTCTTACACTCTCCCCTCTCTCTCTCTCTCATCTCTCTCTCTCTCTGTGTCATCAGACTTCATTTACTGTGCATTCTTTAATTCATTCATTCACTGCACTCATCGGCTACTGTGCCGGAGCTACCCTACCCCCCACCCCCACCCCCAGCTTGAGAAGAAATTAAAAGAACAGATTATGAAATATGAACTTGGTTTATTTTTTCAATTAGTACTTTTTTTTTTTCGTTACAAGAAAAAAAAAATTGTGTACCTGTAGATGGCTCTTGACATGAGCAAGTGTGAGATCTTTCACATCCATTAGCTCTAGTACTGATTTTGGAGTTGCCCCTTCACAAACCAAAAAAAATAATGAATAATTATTCCAAGATGATAATAATTAATGGGATTTAGTTAATTGATTAATCTTTTGTTTTTGTTTCCTGATTAATAATAATAATAATAGGGCTAGTAATGAATAATAATTTAATTATAGTTATGTTTACCCACTTTCATGGCCACCGAGGAGCTCGACGGCGTGGACGAAGCGGGCGTGGAGGGTGCTGGTCCACCTCATTCTCGGGGCCCGCATGCTCCGTTTCGCCGGGAGCTTCGGGAGGAATCTCGATCTCATCATTATCCCGTGTGCCGCCGCCGCCGGGGAGGGGCCGTCGTGGTGGTGGTGGTGGTGGGGTGGAGCTCCCACTCCCCCTATCCCGTACTGCTGCGGGCTGATCGCGGGGTAAGCAGGGGAGGGGGAGAAGCCGTTGAATCTCCGGTAACCGGACGGGGAGGGGGAGGACAGATGATCCAAGCAGTTGAAATACGGGGAGGAGGGAGGAGGAGCGGATGAAGGCGGCGGCGGCGGCATTGGGTAGAAGCCGCACATCTTGGCCGCTGTCGCCGGATCCTTATTGGTCTCCCCCACCGCCGGCAAGAACGGAAACGGACGGTTCTGGTGGTACACGGGGATGCCCTTGATGGGCCTGAGACCGTCGGATACGTCCAACAGCGAAACCCCATGATTTATGTTGCTCACACCCCCGCCGCCGCCGCCGCCGCAGCTCCCATTCGTACTACTAATACTCTTTAGAAATCCGCCATGGTTTTGGTGGTAATAAGGATGACTCTGGTGGTGGGGAAGAAGGCAGCTGCTTTGTTGGTGGAGTTGATGGTATTCCCTCCCCGTGCCGCCGCCGGTTCTCAAGAACCGGCTGCTGCCATCACCCGCGGTCGCCGTGGCGGCCAAGGAGAGCTCCGGGTACGAGGACGCGGGTGTTGGCCGGTGGGACGCCGAGAGGTCGAACCCGGTGGAGGAGGGCGGCGGCGGGGGGGATGAGGATGCGGCGTTGGGAGGGCTAATGTGGAGAGAAAGATCTGGGTTTGAATGGTGAGTAGAAGAAGTAGAGGGCTCAATGAAAACCCCTTCTAAGGGCATGGCTGGGCGCTGTCGTTAATTATATTCTTCTTCTTTCCTTTGGCTTCTCTAATTAATTTCCTTTTATTTCCTGGATCCTAAGAAATCAAAGAACACACCGCGTTGAAGAAGCTTTTATTGCCTTTCTGCAAAAGAACCCTCTCTTTATTCGGAGGAGGAGAGGGGAGAAAAAAGGCTAGAGAGAGCAGAAATGGAGTTTTTTTTTTTCTCTTTTTTCTAGTGAGAGAAAAAGGGGAAAAAGAAAGAAAGGGAAAAATGGGAATTGGAGAAGAAGAAGAAGAAAGAGGAGATTTGGGTGAGGTGCTCCTAGCTCGCTCGAGAGTATATCTCGGAAAATGACACTCGAACAATGAGGTCTCTCTATCCGTCTATACTAACTAGTCAAAACTAGCAAAACAACAAAATGCTTTTTTAAAAAAAAAAAAAATTCATTTTTAAAAAAATACTACTCCTTCCTGTTTATAATATTTGTTCAGTTTAGACTTTTGCAGTTCAAAAGTTATAATATACTTTGGCATTAAATATTGATAGAATAATAATTTTGTTTGATTAACCTTGTAAATCATTTTAAAAATAGTAAATTTTTAAAATGATGCTAAATAACTACTCCCTCCGTTTTTTAAAAGTGTTCCTATTTTGATTTTGTGTAAAAATAAGGAAGTGTTAAATTGTAGTTGACTTCCAATTTTGCCCTTGATGTGATGGGTAAAAGTAAGATGTGATGGATTGAGTATTAGAGAAAAAGTATGATGTGATAGGTAGGGTATGAAAAAGTAAGGGTAAAAGTGGTTTTTTAAAAGAAAGTGGAAGTGTTTTGTTGGAAGTAAAAAAAATGAAAGAGGAAGAGTTTTTGAAAACAGAGGGAGTATCTGTTAATCGGAAATAATACTCAGTTTAGTCCTTCGACTAACGGTCATCGAAGCAGCGTTAGAGCGGAGTTAACACTTATACTAATTTTTGCAAAATGGTCCTTTCTAATTGGATATTTTTTCACAATAAAAACTCATTAAATATGGACAAAAAATTAAAATTTTTATGTGAAAATATACTGTAATAAATTAAACTTTAAATGTAATTTAATAATTTAAAAATAAACATTTATGATTATCTAAAATTATTTATAAGAATACCATATAAATAAAATACGGAGTATGTAATAGACGGTCTCATCCATTCTAAAATGAAACTCCTGCTTTGGTTTACAATATTTGACCGAAGTTATTTCAAAACTAGAAAAGAAATACTTCCCTTGTCTCTGAGTATTTTACAATCCATTCTAAATACTTCACTTTTAACTTTTTTTGTCTAATTTGGTAAACCTTAACCATAAATAAAATAAAAATGATATTAGATATTGATAAAAAAAATTATTAGATCTATTATATCAAATTTTTTTAAAATATTATTTTATCTAATAATTCTAATTAATATACAGTATAAATTTAATTTAATTACAAGTCAAAGGTTAAAAAGAGTTGACTAAAAATAGTCAAAACTGGACAAATACTCAAACACGGAGGTAGTAGATTATGTTTATTAAATATTTTATTTACATGATATTCTTCTAAGTCATTGTAAATAATTCATAACATTTACTTTCAAATTTATAAAGTTCGAAAGCAAGAGAAGTGCTTGGTTCACAAATACAATGCTCACAAACTTCACAAATTTATTATTTATGAACTTCAATAAAAAAATTAAATCGTCTTAAATAATTTTAAAATGAGAATTGAAACTATAAATAGTAAGTTTGTAAAATTTGTGACCATTCTGTTTGTGAACATAGTATTATTTCCACAACATTATTGACCCTTTCCATTTCAAAAGTATTTCCACAATAACTTTTCACGGTCTAATTTAGTTAATTACGGAGTAATATTTGTATTTACACGTAAAAAATATTGCAAATTATAAAAATATGTTGTTTAAAAATAAAAATTTAAAATTAATAATATCATACTCGGTATTAAACTAACATTATAAATCACTTTATTTTATTTTAATAAACAAAGATCAAAGTTAGTTTAGTTTGTACCTTGAGTTATTCGTTGTCTTATGGTTCACATGTAAAATGTAAATTTTTTTATACGGAGTATTTTTATAGTGAACAAATGATTTTTTTTTTGCAAAATGCCCAATTCTCGTACCTCACTAATCCCTAAGATCCATTAACTAAAAATAGACCTTAAGATCATAGAAGCATTTGAATTATACATTTTATTTTAAAAAAAAGTCAAAGCAAACAATTATTTTAGAAGCAGGGAAAGTATAAAAGCGGACTCAATTGATAGTAGACCCAAAAAAGAATCATACCAAAATAATTAAAAATTGTCGAACGCTTTTTAAATTATAAAAGAAAATTGAAAGATAAAGGGCCACTTTTTGATTGATTTGCCTCTTCCATGACTCCCCCGTAGAGAACGGGTTAAAAAAATGGTTGAGAGAGAAAGAGACTCTTGTTTGTGACGACTCTTCTTTGCTTCTCTACCTTTCGTGTCTTTTCCTTTTATTCTTCACTCTCATTTACTCCCTAAATTTCACTGCCCAAAATTTTACTCTCCGTCCAAAAAAAATGCCACATCTAGTTACTCTCTCCGTCCAACATGTATTCTTACACCATATTACAATTAGATTCTTATTTTGGTTTGAAAAGACTTATGACTGCTATTTTTCTATTTTCATATTTTTTTACTTCTCTCTAGACATATTTCTTTTGAGAAATTAACCTAAATAGGACTAAAACATAATGACTTTTCCACTATAGTATCATATGTTTTTATTTCCTAATGTAGGACCTTTTGTCATTATTAATTAATCATTATTCAAGTAATGTCCATCAATACTGGACATTATTCATACCACTAGACATTATTAAGTCCTATTTAGAAAATAAAAAAGTTATGTCCTACATTGGAAAATGACTTATGTTTTATTCCTATTTAGTGCAAATTTCACTTCAGAATTTAGAGTTTGTTCTTTAGATTTTAAACTCTTAACTTTTAATTTCTTCTAATTCCTTCCAACTATTTTCATTTTCTTTAGCTATTATGAATATAATAATAATGATAATAATAATAATAAGAACAACAACAACAATAATAACAAATTATAATAAGAATACTATATAAAATACACTTAAATAAAGTTTTGATCTTTTTTATAGTTTGTACCTGTTACTTCAAGTTTTTCAGGTTTTTTCCAGTTTTTTTTATTTTCTTCTAGTTTTTTTTCACATTTTTCAATTTCTTCTAATTTTTTCAGTTTCTTCTTACATCTTACTCTTTTTTCAACCCTAATGAACATGCTCTAAAAGCATGTTCTTTAGGACTGGAAAAAAGCTAGATGTTGGAAGGAAATTGGAAAGAACTGGGAAAACTCGAAGAAATTGAAGAAGATGGGATGAACTGGAAGAAGTAGGTGTTGTAATGCCTTGAATTTGACCCATTACAGCAGGGAGTACGGGGGTCTCGCCAAGCACTATATATATGGGTGCCAAGTCTATTAGGGTTTAGCCAAGCACTATATATATGGGTGCTAACACAATTCCTATGTGGTATTCTGTTCTTTGCCTCTCCGTCCGTAATTAAACTGCCCCCCCTCTTCCTGTGGATGTAGCCAACACAATGTTGGTGAACCACGTTAAATCTGTTGTCATGTTTTTTCTCGTTTATATTTGTTATTCTCGAATTCCGCATAACAGTAGGGATGAAAATTCAACCCGAACCCAAGCTTAACCGACCCGACCGACCACTAATATATATCTGAACCCGAACCGATAATATAATAATTCGAACCCGACACGAAATTATTTACCCAAACCTGACATCGGGTCGGGTCGGGTGTGGGTTTATTATTTTACCTGACCCGAACCCGCACCCGACCCGACTCAAACCCGAATATTTTATAACATAAAAGCCTATCTATGGATATAATGAGATCTTTGTATAATTTCTTGACAAAGTGCTACTATATCAAGTATGCCTTTTATAATCATTTTTAAAATTTCTTAATAAAAAAATGAGACACAAAAAAAATTAGATTTAATCGTTTTGGAATTCTTGGGGTACGTCGAATTGATTATTCGTTAAAAGTCGGGTTCGAGTCGGGTTCGGGTTTCGGGTTGGAATGTCAGATTCGGGTCAGGTATAGTAATATTTGACCTGAACCCGACCCATTGCCATCCATAGGAAGAAGCTGGTAGGAACTAGAAAAATTTCAAAAAATTGGAAAATTTAAAAAACTTTAAATAAATTAATTTTAGTTTATTTTTATATTATTCTCATTCAAATTCTCATTGTTATAAATTAATAATACTATTAATAATAATAATAATAATAATATTATTATTTTCATCATCATCATGTTATCTTAATGAATGTCTTTAAGATTAATAAATATATTTTCATTCTTCATACACAAAAACTACTTTTTTCAAAAAAAAATAATTAAAATATAAAGTTAGCATAAATATCAAAATTTTTAATTTTAAAAAGTTATTGTGGTTACGTTGCACCTCAATTTATTTATGGAGTATTTATTATAAAATAATATATTTGTAATTACACTTTATATACTACTCCCTTCGTTTGGCAAAACCCTTCCCATTTGATTTGGAGGCAAAAATAAGGAAGTGTTAAATTATGTAGTTGATTTCCAATTTTGCCCCTGATTTGATGGGTAAAAGTAAGATGTGATGGATAGATTATTAGAGAAAAAGTATGATGTGATAGGTAGGGTATGAAAAAGTAAGGGTAAAAGTGGTTTTTAATAGAAAGGAGAAGTGTTTTGTTGGAAGTAGAAAAAATGAAAGACGAAGTGTTTTTTAGAACGGAGGGAGTACAAGATTTTATTTTAAATATCAGACAGGTCACATAATGTAATCAAACCTATTTTTCTTTCATGATTTTCATTTTATTTTCATTGTAACTCCTATTTTTAGAATAGAGACATAGAACGTTTATTTTTGTACATTTTCTATGTTTTACTCCTATTTTAGTCTTTTTCTCTAAACTATTTTGAATTTCAATTTTTTTATAAAAATTAGAAAAATAAAAAAACAAAATTAAATTTTGAA